ATCTCCTGCTGCTCTTCATCAGGAGGCCACTCCAGGTAGGTCTTTGTGTTCATGATCTTCCGCAGCTTGCAGAATCTCTTGGGAATCGTTTTGCTCTGGATGGGCTCCAGGAGGACAAGAATCGCTGTGTCGTTGTTCTCGTCAAAGAGGCGGAAGTGCGAGAAGTCCAGCTCGTATTTGCACCACTCGCTCTGCACAAAGTGCTCAGACAGCACAAACAGAGTTTTGCGGCTCTTCTCTATGGAGTCGATGATGTTGTCCACGATCCACTTCCCGGGCACAAAGTCCCGCTTATGGAGGCAGAGCCGAAACGGGGGGCAGGCCTGCTCCAGCTCCCGCACCATTATGTTCTCCACCCAGTCGGAGTCATTCTCGCTGTAGGAGACAAAAGCATCGTAGCAGATGTCCTTTGGGGGGGCTCGCTTGGGCTTCCGCTTGGCTTGGAGCCATGCCCAGGTCATTCTCAGGTACCAGACCGCGTGGTACTTGTAGCCGACAACCACGAGGGTGAGGATGACCAGGAACACCAGGACGCAGATCAACGACACCACCATGGACCTGTGGCACTCCATCAGGGAGAAGTGCACGGCTCCAACCTGCGCCCCTCTCACTGCCAGGGGAGAGTCACAGACGTACTTGTCTGGCCACCCCACCAGCACCTGGGCTATCCCGGCCTGGTGGTGGATAAAGGAGAGGAATTCACAGGAGCAGATGAAGTTGTTGTCGCTGGCATCCAGCAGCTCCATTTTCTTGAAGGACTCAAACTCTTCCTTGGAGAAACTGTTGAGCTTGTTTCTTCTGACTGACATGGCCACTAAGTTGGGAACAGGTGCGGCACCAGGCAAGGTCTTCAGCTGGTTTTTTGTGAGGTACAGCTCCTTCAGAAACGGGAGCTGCAGTCCAAACTCCCTCAGGTTGTTAGCGCTAACGTCCAAAACTTCCAGCGTTGGGGGAATGCAAGTCGTTAGTTTGGGAATTTGAGTGCTGGAGAGATTCAAATATTTCAGGGTTTTTGGCCATTCACACACATCTGGAATCTCACCAAAATTATTCT